TTTTTACTTTGAAGTTTTCCAATTTGACTCTTCTGCTTCCTAGACATTTACATTTAGAGCACATATTGATGTATTATATTTAATGCTGTCAAACGATTAATCGTGATTAATCGTATTCCACAATAAAGTTTTTGTTTACATAATATATGTGTGTGTGCTTATTTCAACCAAATTTTGACAATTTATTCTCCAAAAACTTATTTGAAATCTTAAAAATAGATACTTTACTTACATTTAATGTGCTTTCTATGGACACAAAAAAATCACTTTTGTCAATTTCTTTTGATGCGGACATCTTAATGTCTTTGACCCAAATACATATAAATAAATATTTTCAAAATATATACTGTATGTGTGTGTATTTATATATACATAATAAATATACACAGCACACACACATATATTATGTAAACAAAAACTTTTATTTTGGATGCGATTAATCGCGATTAATCGTTTGACGGCACTAATATTTATTTCCTTTCATTTTGTTCCTTCCTTTTTTTTTTTTTTTTTACTTGCTCTTAAAAAGGTCTTTAAAAACTCTAAAATTAACCATCATAAAACCTGCAGAAACCCTGAGTCTGTGTAATGTCTCCATTAGATATCTAAGTAAACGTGTGTGTTATAAGAGTTCAGCGCATGTTTTAGTAGCTCGTTAGTTGTCTCTGTTCACGTGTCTGATAGAGACGGTGTGTGAGACAGTTCTGTTCTCTGTTCTCCTGAGGCCTGATATCCAGATCATCACCTCATTTATTATTGACCAGCGTCTGCATTACTGCACGAGCCTCTGTCTCTCTCTATCTGCTGTAATTTACGTTTCTGTTGCTATTTTTATAACTGCCTCGTTATTCGTGAATCTGTCGCCTGATGATCTGCAGGGCTGTTTAGTCAAGGATCACTAGTACTAGTGATCAGTCTTCTAAAGGCACGTTTACACTGCAGACGCAAACCTCTGCTGACAGCAACACTAACACCTCTGCTTTGGGGTGTGTCTTTCATTAATGCTGGTATGATGAAGCATATCTGATATATTGCATTTACGAGTTAAATGCACATGAATGTCTCTACAAAGTCCTAATTATGAGTGGGAGACTCAGGATTTTCCTTAAGCCCAGATTTTGTGAGTTGGGGGCATCCGTGAGAAAACATGCCAAATGCAAAGTCTGTGTTAATTTGCTTTTTTTATTATTTAATTTTTTTACACAGTACAAAAAAAGTTGCAAATACAAAATACGACAGTATTGTATAATTATGATAGAATGCATAATGATTCAATTTACAGCACCTTCCTGAATTAAATAAAATCAAAAAAGAAAAACACACACCCAATGCACACTCTTTATTCATCAATTTGTAGATTAAAAAAATTAAACATTTTATGCAGAAAAGGTGCATCACCATCTTTGTCGCCATGCGTACAAAATATGTTTATTTCAATGCAAACTCAGTATATTCATCATATATACGTGATTACAGTTGAAAGTAAAATGCAAGCTTCTGAATGACCAAAGATAGTCTCATTTTAATATACTTTCCTTAATCCAGCCAGTTTTGTCATAATGGAACTGTCCAAAAACTAGAATTAAATGTAGTAATATGTTAACATTATTATTATTATTAATGCACTAAATCCAGCAGAAACAGATTTTTTTGTTTTGTGTTTTGTAACAAAAAACAAACAAAAACAAATCAGAACTGCAAGATGTAAACTCAGAATTTCTGAGATCGGCATATTTTTAAGCACTCATTGACGTTTGCATAAAGTCAAGCATTTTTTGGATGCTCACGTTGCTTTTAGTGCATGCAAGTCTTCCTGCAAAGTTCATGTTTACGAGTAGGGAAGGCGTACTTACTGTACGACGTCATGTGCGTTCAAATCACTTTTTTGGAGCAAGATGACAAAATACCCCAAAAATAATAATTTTTTAATTCTACAAAATGATTTAGAAAGACTGTGCATTGTGTGTGTTTTTGCATTGTTTTATTGTGCAGTACTGTGTATTTTGAACATGCAACTTAGTTTTAGTGTAAATGTAAAAAAAAAACATTAATTTTAACAAGTTTACCATCGATACTTTGCATCTGGCATTTTTTATGTGTGCTCAACTCATAAACACAATCTTCCTGCCATGACTCGAATGCTTAATTTCTCTGACCATCAATCCTTCAGTCCAAGCTCAACTTCCATAAGAATGCATTGAAATGCAAATGTCGTAAGGGTCAATTTTTCAAAATTGAGATGTATGCATCATATGAAAGCTGAATAAATAAGCTTTCCATTGATGTATGGTTTGTTAGGATAGGACAATATTTGAAAATCTGGAATCTGAGGGTGCAAAAAAATCTAAATATTGAGAAAATCATCTTTAAAGTTGTTCAAATGAAGTTCTTAGCAATGCATATTACTAATCAAACATTAAGTTTTGATATATTTACGGTAGGAAACTTACAAAATATCTTCATGGAACATGATCTTTACTTAATATCCTAATGATTTTTGGCATAAAAGAAAAATGGATAATTTTTGACCCATACAAAACAAATATACCTGTGCTACTGACTGGTTTTGTGCTCCAGGGTCCCAGTGTCAGTGGATTGGTCCAGTGTGAGTGTGTGTTTTATATGCGTGTGTTCCTGAAGCTCTTGCTCTTGTTGGTTCAGATTGAAGCGCCGGCAGGAGGAGGGCTGTATGGCAGCAGACGGAGACGCCGATCCAGACGGAGACGAGGCCGAGGGAGGAACGGAGGACGAGGAGACCGAGGCCGAACCCGAGGCTGAACCCGAGGCCTCCAAACTGAGCATGTGCGGCTCGGTCTGCTCGTCTCCGGGAAGCTGCTAGCGCCCCCTGCTGTCTCGGAGCTGCTCACCTCGCCTTTAACAGCCCTCGAGATCCCAGCCCTGGCTTCTTTCGTCTCCGCCGCTCCTAGAGTAAATCTGAACTTCTATGCAACGTAACTCTTCAGCATGATGTAAAATAGAGATTTTAGAGGCAATTCTACAATGTAAGACTGTTTGCTTGAGTATGACGACACCACATGAAACACACCAGACGACGGAGGAGATCTTCATCTTGAATACAAACCGATTGCGTTTGTATGTTTACATATGTGACCACAAAACCAGTCATAAGGGAAATTGAGATGTATGCATCATCTGAAAGCTGAATAAATAAGCTTTCCATTGATGTATGGTTTGTTAGGATAGAACAATATTTGAAAATCTGGAATCTGAGGGAGCAAAAAAATCTAAATATTGAGAAAATCATCTTTAAAGTTGTTCAAATGAAGTTCTTAGCAATGCATATTAATAATCAAAAATTAAGTTTTAATATATTTAAAGTAGGAGATTTACAAAATATCTTCAAGGAACATGATCTTTACTTAATATCCCAATGATTTTTGGCCTAAAAGAAAAATCTATCATTTTGACCCATACAATGTATTGTTGGCTATTGCTACAAATATACCCCAGCGACTTAACACTGTAAATATCCAGTAGTCTTTAGTTTCTACATGAACCGTGATTTAATACTTACAGTTTAGGAAAACGAGTCCGACTGATTATTTGTCAGCATATACACTACTGGTCAGATTTTGTTATATTTTTGAAAGAAGTCTCTTCTGCTCACCGAGGCTGCATTTATTTGATCAAAAATACAGTAAAAATGTGAAATATTATTACAGTTTAAAATGTCTGTTTTCTGTGTGAATATCTGTTAAACTGTAATGTATTTCTGTGATGTGCAGCTGTATTTTCAGCATCATTACTGCAGTCTTCAGTGTCACATGATCTTCAGAAATCATTCTAATATGCTGATTTGCTGCTCAACAAACATTGTTATTCTTATTATTATCAATATTTAAAAAAAATTTGAGCAGCAAATCAGTATATTAGAATGATTTCTGAAGATCATGTGACACTGAAGACTGGAGTAATGATGCTGAAAATACAGCTGCGCATCACAGAAATAAATTACAGTTTAACAGATACTCACATAGAAAACAGCTGTTTTAAACTGTAATAATATTTCAGAATTTTACTGTATTTTTTATCAAATAAATTCAGCCTCGGTGAGCAGAAGAACTTCTTTCAAAGGTATTTTTGACTGGTAGTGTAAATGAGCCACAATCTCACATTATGGCTTGTTTAAGGACAGACGTGTTCGGCTCACATCATCACTATTAGCGATGATGATGATGATGATGATGATGATGATATCTCGAGTATATTTCTCTCTGTATGTCGCTGCTTTAACTCTTTCTGCCCTGCGCTCACATGTTGCCAAACTCCTTTCTGACTGTTAGACTCTTAAACTCAGTGAAGGTTTGATGAGACGCCGATCCTTCATCTCTGCTGCTTATGAATCTCTATAGGACGCCAGATTAAGATTGATTTATAGGTGTGTGTGTGTGTGTGTGTGTGTGTGTGTTTAGCGTAGCATTAATTCAGTAAATGACGTCGGCACATGTGTAGCGAATCATTACCGTAAACTCACCGCTTCATCATGTAAACATGTACATAGTGAAAAGCCCAGTATTTTCCACAGTTTTATGTGGATGTGCTGACATTAGTGAGTTTAAATATAGACGATTCATGAAACACTGTAACATTTGTAAAGAAGCATTTATTGTAATAAGTGAACTCCTGGAATGTTTAATCTGAAGTCAGTTTGCTGTGTGAACGCTGAATCTGGTTTCACATCACATGATGTGTGAAGACTCCAGCGAAGACCAGACGTCTGACTTTAACCTTGTTTTTCATTGTAATGTGGATGGCATGATACTGTACGTATACATAGATTCTCTTGAATATTTTGGCAACCCATAGATTTTGACGATCATTAAAGTATAAATAAAGTATCAATATGCTCTTGTGCGTCTTTATTTCTGAACAAATCAAATATATTTTGGTTGATAGATTTTTATAAATATATTTTCAAAAATGTTATGTTAAATATATATATATACTGTATATGGCTAGATGGGAAGTGTGTTTGTGTTAATGCGCAGATTGTTGAAGAGTTAAACTGAAGTTGTGTGTGTGTTTGTCTCTGTATCATGTGAGGTTGAAAATGTCAGCGAAGCAGCAAGATGTTTGTGTTTCCAGTTTCTATATAAACATGTTCTCCTTCCATCTGCTCAGATTCACACCATCTGCTGACGAACGCCACAAACATACAGAAGAAAGACACATTTCACTACAAATCCTCCAGAAAGTCACTAAAGTCATTCCAGCTTTAGATTCTGAATCGGTTTGTTCTTTAACATGACATCAGCGCAAACTTCACAGAAAAGATAGTATGAGAGCAAAAATGTTTTGGTTTTTTTCATTCTTTTGTCATTGTTTGATTTTTCTCCTAGTCAAAATTCTCTCTTTGCTGTTGTTGTCGTCTTTCTAAAAAGTACTTCTTGAGCACAAATCAGTAACACTCGTCATTTGGAGAAATCAAAGAAATGGGCAAGAGAAAAACATTTTAAAAAATTTAATTCGGGCACTTTTTGTAAAAGTTCTACGGTGCAGCATATTTGTAACATTTTTTCAATTTCTTTTGTGAGTTTAGAATAGGCAGTTTTCACTTTTTCACTAGTAGTTTCCAATAATGCAGAAGCCCTGAATGACAACATGAGAAAAATATGTCTTAGATCCTCATAATAGTGTCTTAAAACCTGTTTAAATCCTAAGGTTTTTTTTCTTTACACAAAGCAACAGGTTTCCTGGATTCAGTAAAAGAAAGTGTTCACTGTATCTACTGTAAACATGTTATTTTTGTATATTCACATGCATGCAGTGATTGATCATCTCCTCAAATCATTTATAATACAGTTCCAAACAAACACCAGAAGAGAATACTGACACGCAGTAAAGTAGTATGAATGAGTGATGTAATTTTAATAAGAAAAGCTTTTAAAAAAAACCTGTTTTGACTTATTATAGGACCAGAACTTTATGAACTGCTCCGTCCCATTATTGTTGTGTGCGATCTCATGAAGAAACGCCAGGATCATATTTCACCCTGAAATCAAAAGAGAAAAAAATATAAAATTATTTATTTCATAAAGAAAATGAAAATAAAACACCTCAAGAACATTCAGCTCTGAGTGCACTTCCATCATGTACTTAAAGTGCTCTATTCTCGCGCACTAATTTTGTACTTAATATACTAAAATGATTCTTTAGTACTTATAAAGATAAACTAAGTGTACTCAACTGTGCTATTTTGGGACACTGTGAATATGAACTAAAATGCGCTTTTAACATACTATCTCTGTATTTAAAATGTATTTAGTCAGCACTTGTAGTACACGTGAACCATCTTTCATACACTAGTACACTCAAGTGTACTACAAGTGCTGACTAAATACAGTAGTATACAATAGTTAAACTAGGTTTAACTAACTAATTTTAGTAATTAATTTTAATTTCTAGACAATCCTATTTTTCTGAAAAAAAAAGGTTAGAAAACATTGTCATTACAGCTTTTGAACCAGACGAAACATATTAACACAATGTTTCTGTGGACAGTGAGGGGTTTGGAGGCAGTTGCATTCACTGATTAGTTGTTATGGAAATCATGCAAAAATCATAATGTTATGGTTTGACAGTCTGTGAGATTCACACACACCGGCGGCTCGTCCAGTATGCCGATGAGTGGTTTGTCCAGCAGGGGGCTCCACTCAGGGGCCTCATCAGCGTTCAGCAGAAGAGCCAGCTCAGCTTCCAGCTTCTGAAGAGTGTCCTCCACCCGCTGACCAAACACACACACACACAGTAAAAAAACTACAAGATACAAATTTAAAGTTTAGATGGAAAAAAGTTACAAATTTTGAAGATTTAAACTTCCTTTAAAAAAGATTTAAAGGAAAAAAAATCACAAATTTGCAAGATGTAAACTCAGAATTTAGAGGAAAAAAGTGAAAAACTAAAAGATGTAAACAGAATTGAGGGGGAAAAGTGGAAAAATTACAAAGTGTAAACTCAGAATGTAGTGGGGGAAAAGTCACACATTTCCTAAATTTAATTAGAGGACAAAACAAGTCACAAATTTGCAAGAAGTGAACTCAGAATTTAGAGGGCAGAAAAGTAAAAAACTACAGAATTAGAGGGAAAACAAGTTTTAAAAAAATCCAAGATATAAATATAAAAATTAGAAGGATAAAGTTCATAAATTTGCAAGATGTAAACTCTTTTGAGTGGAAAAAAAGTCAAAAACTACAAGATGCAAACTTAGAATTTAGAGGGCAAAAAGTCACAAATATCCGATATAAATGTAGAATTTATAGGGAAAAGTAAACAATTTCTAAGATATAAACTCAGAATTTAGGGGGGAAAAGTGAAAAACTACAAGTTGTAAACTCAGAAGTTAACGGACAAAAAAAGTCATAAAACTGCAAGATATAAACTAAGAATTTAGAGGACATAAAATAAAAAAACTACAAGATGTAGATACATAATTTAGAGGGAAAAAGTCACAAATTTGCAAGAGTTTAACTCAGAATTTTGAGGGGAAAAAGTCAAAAACTACAAGATGCTAACTTATAATTTAGAGGGCAAAAAGTCACAAATTTCCGATATAAATGTAGAATGTAAACAAAATTGAGGGGAAAAAGTGGGAAAATTACAAAGTGTAAGTTTAGAATTTAGTGGGAAAAAAGTCACACATTTCCAAAGTTTAACTTAGTAATTAGAGGACAAAAAAGTCATGAATTTGAAAGACGTGAACTCAGAATTTGGAAGGGAAAAAAGTCAAAAACTACAAAATACAAACTTGAAATTTAGGTGGGAAATCACGCACACACACACTCACTCACTCACTCACTCACTCACTCACTCACTGACTCACACACACACACACACTCACTCACTCACTCACTCACACACACACACACACACACACACACCATAACCAGTGTTGGGAAAGTTACTTTTAAAAGTAACGCATTACAATGTTGCGTTACTCTCTAAAAAAGTAACTAATTACGTTACTTCGTTACTTTTTATGGAAAGTAATGCGTTATGTTACTTTTGAGTTACTTTTTAAATCTGGGCGGGGCTTGCTTGTTTGTTTTTAATATAAAAAGTTCTTC